GTGTGTGTGTGTGTGTGTGTGTGTGTGTGTGTGTGTGTGTGTGTGTGTGTGTATGTGTGTGTACACATATATATATATATATATATTGGAGGATATCCGGGCGCGAGAGACGCCCGGAGAATTACAGATAGAGATTACAGTTCATCGATAGGAGGTGCAGTGTTACGCGGGGCATTACGTGAGTAATACTTGCTTCTTGATATCTTGCCGCCGCGCTTCTGCCGTGCCAGCGTATTTCCTCCTGAGCTTTCGGATCTCCGATCTCCCGCCTCGGCCTCTTTTCTTCCCTCGATCCTCCGCGTCACGTCGCGCCGTTCCGTGATGCCGCTTCTCGACCTAAACTCCCTTTTCTTTTTCGACTTCTAATTCTTTTTTCCTTTTTCTTTCCTCTTCTCTTTTTTCTTTCTTTTTTTCTTTCTCTCTTTCACTTCGCTCTCTCTTCGTCTCTATCTTTCCTCTTCTCTTTTCCTCTCGTTTCTTCTTCTCTTTTTATCTTCTTTCTCGCCCACAGCTTCACTTAATCTTCTGTGCGCGATCTTGTTGATATATCTCTTTGCTTTCACCTCACGGCCTTCTCTCGGGGGAACGTCTGTGAATGAAAGGGGATGTTCTCCGATGCGTTTCGGTTCTTTTTGCATGCGAGCGAGCTTTCTTCTATTTACTGTTCCATTTTCCTCAGTGGACATCCAGGTTTCTTACTGAAGCTACCGTTCCTCTGACTGAAGCGACGTTCGTCATGCATCACGCTACCTCTTCCTCTCCTGCTTGATCGTCGCGCACCACAGAAAGGACCTATGTTCGCCTCGACAGCAGCACTCTAGTAGCACCCCGTACGATCATACCACGTACGACGTCGTCCGGTTACCCACGATAGGGCGCGATTCATTCACTGACATCTTCGTCGCTCACCACGATCCGCTTCCGTATGGTCGTTCATATATGGGCGTGTAATGTCGTGCGCGCGCGCGCGCCCGCTCTCGCCGCTCGCTCGAGCTGAATGTACGTGCGTGCGTGCGTGCGTGCGTGAAAGTGCGTACGTGTACGTGTGGTGTCTAACGTTATGCTAAAAATATGGATCGTAATCGTCGCGATGTCACAAATCTTCTAGGTTGTTCTAATGCTCGTTTCTAACTAACGTAGTTATGCACCCCCTTCCGTCTCTCTTCCCACTCCTGCTTCTTTTCTCTCTCTCTCTCTCTCTCTCTCTCTCTCTCTCTCTCTCTCTCTCTTTCGTCTTTCCTTTCTCTAGGCCTGTAACCGGTCTTTTACGATGATGTCTGGTCTGCGACTATAATCGCGCGGCGTATTTCAAAGGTTAAAGGCTGTTTCCCGCGATTGCCCGACTTCCCGTGCTGACGTCGCCGACGATCTCGACCGGCCGCGCCGGTGTTCCATTGAGCGACGAGAAACGTTCCCTCTCTCTTTTTCTTTTTCGACTCTCTCTCTCTCTCTCTCTCTCTCTTCCTCTCTCACTTCGTCTCCCACGATGCGTAACTCTTTCCGCTCACTCGACCTCGGCACGTCGCGCGACAACACCGCTTCTCGTTGATACACACTCCCTCGCGAACGCCGTCGTTGACGTGCTTGCACTGGAGGAGATCCTCGCGAGGGTGCCGTGCGACGAGTGGCCGACTCGCCCCTTTTCTTTACGGCGCGGAAGTAGGTGCTCTCGACCGACGGGAAGAGACGACGGAATCGAATGGTGAGGAGGTTGCGGCCGTGGATGGTTGCTTTGTTGGTCGAAGGTCGAGGGATGTGGAGGATCGAAGGGTTGGGACGGTGGGTTACTTCGGTGAGTGAGCTGCCTGGCGCCCTCACCAGAACTAACTCCCACGCTGCGCGGAGAGGATCCGGTGCTTTAATACAACGCGCATTCTCCCGGCGCTACCCCTCTTTTCTACACCGGGGTGAGCGACGACGGGGTGGCCGTCCCTTCTTGCCTCTCACCTAGCCTCGCCTCGCCTCACCTCACCTCACCTCACCTCACCTCACCTCACCTCACCTCACCTCACCTCACCTCACCTCACTTCACTTTACCTCACCTCACTTCACCTCGCCATGTCTCGCCTCCATCCCGGCCGACGCGCCCATGAACGGATTAAAGCTGCCGCGAGCCCTAAGCACCCCCGGACGGTACACTCTGCGTCTTCATATGACGTTTCACAGCGATACGGTCAAAGGTGATGTGACCATCATCAGTGGCCATCCAATCCACGATTCACTATTCGTATGACAATTTTGAACTCCTCACAAATATAGGACGTTGCATTGTCGCCAGCTAATACTCGTGCCTCATTCGAGCATCATTCAGTCCCTACATAGCTCGAAATGAAAGATGCATGCAAAGTAGAAAAATGTCATGTGTTCTCTCTGACGGATAGAAGGTGATATCTGGAAATATCTAAGGGGGAATGTTTATAATTTCGGTGTTCCTCAGTCAGCGAACAGTCATTCTGCTCCTTCCCGCAGTTAAAGCGGAGATCACAAAATCAAAAGCTAGAATGAAGGATCCTGGTCCGACCTTCGCTATAAAATCCACCCCTACCCGTTTTAGTCAGCCGGGCTGAGTGCCTCGCCGTGCGCACCTAATCGTAACCGCCCAGTTTCTATCTCTTCTCATGTAGCCATCACCTGACGCACGTTCTTTCGATCACTGTTTGGCTACGCATGTTGTAAGGTCCTGCCTACGTTTGCGAGATCGTCTCAGTCTCTTGATAATACATCAGTTGCAGCTTCGTGGGAGTATTTGCGGATGACGTTAGTCGATCCCCCCCTCCCCCCCCGAAAGACACATGTAATTGACTGTCGTTCGAATTATCTTGACTTTCATGATCCAGGAACAGTTTTCATTAATTAATCGTTCGGTTTTATATACTCGGTTCATATCTCTTTCATTTTGTTAGCTAATGGCTACACCTTCGCTGTTTACTGCCATAAATTAACGTGCGTGACGTAAAATACACAGCGTGACGACACATTCATTAGATTTGGAATTCTCAAAACTCATACAAACATTTGTAACACGTGTACTAATTATTTTAGCATATTTACTGGCGCAATTTTAATCTCTATTTAAGGAAAGGCTTGAAAAGTGTTAGCTTCTTTTACTGATTATTTTATTTAATTACGATTTAATTAAATATAATATGATTCAAGAGAAAAAAAAAATGAAAAATAAGAAATTTAATTAATATAAAATTTAAATAAGGTTTGATTATATCTTTCTATACAGATTCAAAGAAAAAACATCAGGTAAAAGAGCAAACAAAGTATATTTAATTCTCAATAGTTCGTAACAAAAAGTTGTTGATGCATAAATAACTATCACTTTTTTTAGCATTGATATTTATAAGAAAAGCACAAGTATAATTCTGGGACACTCCATGTACGATAAATGAAGGAACGAAATTTTTAGCACCTACTGGACAACGTCGACCTCTTATTTACATGTCTCTTTTTATTCCCGTCGCATCGATTCAAAGTTCATTTATTTATAACTAGAAGTTTCGTAGAAAAGATAGAAAATTAACGATGATTCATCGTACGTTCAAATAAATTACTATAGCGGTTTACGTTCATCGTTCGGAAATAGACATTATCTGGAAAAAATTAAACATATAATTCTTGCAGCGTGTGTTAATTAATTTTTCCACAGTGTACAATTATTGCAACGTTCTTTTTTCCTTAAGGAAAAACATGAAATATATATAAGGAATATCTTTTATTGTAGACGCGTGCAATAAATATAATATTATACGTAAATATGATATTGTTATGCAGGTGATATAAATAAGAAAAAAATATTATCTCTGGAGTATGTGTCATAACGAGTTTGACATATACATCACTAATAAGGTAAATTATATAGTTGTGCAACCTTTTAATTACATAGGCGTTATAGGCAAACTTATATGTTCTCGATAACTTTTAATGAGATACTCGCCTACTGAACCTCTAGAGACTCAGATGTTGCAAATAATAAGTTTTGGATTTAACTGTAATACTGCGCAGATGAGTTGTGTACGTAGTTTTTTTTACAACAAATATTTCTACGAATATTTATTACGCTCTTTGCTCTCTATTATTTTCCTCTCTATTGAAAAATTTAAAAAAAAGAGAAAAAAGTTGTTTTGAACGTACTAAACTAAAACGAAAAATGTTTTGTTTATCTGATACGATTAATGAAAACAATAGAATTATTTAACATTTAAAATAATCGGATGCATTTCTCACACATAGAAATAAACACGAATGCTAAGTAGTAACATAGCTTTTGATAATCGACTCTTCGTCATAAAAAGAAGATATTATTGCAGAAAACGCGGCGAAATATTAAATTCTGTTATTGTTTAATAATTTTTTTATTATATTTTGAACAATAATAATATATTATTACTGTTAATATATATTTAAACCAAATATTTTTCGATCTTCTGTAAAGATGAGGAAGTCTATTCCCGAACAAATTAAAAACACGTGAAAATTATTTAATAAAAATAAAGACATATTCACATTAATATTTAGTTATTAAATAAAATAGTCTTATAATAATGATTTTCGACAGTAGTGAATACTAAAGGAAGAAAATAAAGATCCTCCTTTTGAATAAAATATTTAGACTTGAAACAAAGACAACAAACAATTATACAAAATACCAAGATTCTAACAGAAAAAAATAATATTCCCAATAAAATTAAATCAATAATTAAACCTACAAATTCTCTTTTACCCCGCTATACAAATTACCAAAAATACACAAACTGTGTGTGTGTGTGTGTGTGTGCGCGCGCGCGCGCGCGCGCGTGTGTGTGTGTGTGTGTGTGTGTGTGTGTGAACATCCCCATTGTTATTTCCATAAATTCTCCAATAAATAAATTTTCGTGTTTTCTTGCTCAAAATCTACACAACCTGTGATAGGAAAAACTGAATTATATATCAACTCAATGGATTTTACACAGAAAATTAGAAATTACTTTCTGGAGACATACTCTAAAGAGCTTTGATGTAGAATCCCTCTTTACTTTAAGATCCAATCAAAGACATACTAGAGATAACCATATGAAAAATTATCCTCTTAGTTTTTGAAAATTAATCGGCCGAAAGTAATCGCCTTCATCACAGTTTCAGCGATTTCCTCTTCCATCATATTATCTATCCTCTTTCCTATTTCCTTTTCTCTCCTCCCTTAATAACATACATAAAGAGAATATTCCAGAGAGGTAGCTCCATATCAGATTGCTTCGCACTACCTTGATGAAGTAAACTGCCGTATTTACAAAATGTTAGCATTTAACGATGTATCAAGATACGGAAATAACTTGCAAATCGTGCAGCTTTTTTTAAGAAAATAGCCGGAAGCTTTAAAATTATAATTAATAATGATCTTTAATACTAATAATATCCTATACTTATAGTTATTCTAACATTTTTTTTTCCATTACTTTTCTCATTAACAGCATTTAAAAAATAAAATATTAGTCGATATTTAACAGAAAAACATATGAGAAAAATTTGTATTTTTAACAAATAAATTCTGAATTATATTCAGTAATTTTCTTCGATGTATTTTAACTGATATATTAACTTTGTAATATAATTACAATAATTTTAAAGCTTGAACAATCACACACTAGCAAGTGGAGTCAAGGAAATGCATTGCCGACTAAAATCTATGATCGAAATGAAA